TCACACGCCCCTCAGGACAGGGAGTGGGGCGCCTGTTGTGTCATGCACAAGGAACAACGTGGGGAGGCCAGACAGAAAACACAGTAAGAATCCTTATACTTACATAAACCCGTAAACGGATGGGATAAAATCCCAGGAGTTGAGGAGGAAGAAGGAGAGGCAGATGATCACCACCAGGCTGCACAGGTACAGGGCTGCATACTGCATGGTGTAGAGCCAGAAGCTTTTGCTTTTCAGTTTTATTGGTATGAACTGACGCTGAAAATGAAATACAAGCAGGCAGATACCCCGCATCAGGTGGAAAGTCACAAGAAAGCCTGAGTGTTCTGAACATCATTTTACATTGATGAAAGAAAGCATCAAGCACTGGCACTATGGCACTGGAAGGAGCAGCTCTGAAGCACAATGTGCTTGATGTTCTTCACTCTGGCCAACTAAGTCGTACCCATTGCACATATTTCCAGAACTGGGCTTGAAAATCCAGTAGCTAAGCTGGTCATTTCTGCTTGGAGCGAGTCAAGTTTCACGCGCTCAGCGCAAGATTTACACACAGCTCCTCGCAGCTACCCTTGCATCTTAGATGTTTGCAACACTGTACTGCTGTCTGCCTTCTACTGCATGAACCCACATCAACTGGTGACCAAGAGCCCTGCCCCATGACCCACCACCCTGTGCTGCCAGGTCTCCAGCACACAGACTGGCACTCCCGCTCCACTGAAATCAAAGAGGACATCCAGTGGGTTCCTAAGCACAAAGCAGCCCCTCGAAAAGGGTGCCTCCTCAGACAAAGACAACTGCTGCAGTCCTGCCATTGCCACATGTCCCGACAGGTCAGCCACAAGCCCTTGTCACATCATATGACGTATGGGTATCTCACTCCAAGAGGTCCCCTGATGCCATTTGTAAAGATAAATATACAGACAGGGGCAAACACCTTTGGGAACTGCTCAGAGTTCTGCAGCTCTGAGTCAGTGATGTAGCTTTTCCATTCGGTACTAGGGTTTCCACTGGCAGGAGGTGTACAGAGCGCCAGCTCTAACTGGTGTGGGCTCAGTGTAAAGCATGCTCTGTTTTCTCAGTCATAGCGTGTTTAATGCCACTTGCTGGAACAATGTAAGCAAGTTTACCAAGGATTTTTGGCAGGATGGATTGGAAAGCGCTGGAGAAAAGCTATTTAATTCTGTACAAAGAAAGTAGGAAAGTTCATTTACAAATCTGCATAAAAGAACACACGCTGGCACAATCCCCTTTGAAAGCTGCAAATTAGGCATTCGCACATCAAAGCACTTGTTGCTTGTGAACACAATGCTTGTACTTCACTGCCACTTTACTTCGACTAAAGTTAAAAGAGAACAAATGAGACCAAAATATAACACATATAAAGTCAACACTCCTAAAAACTATCAAACCAAAAAAGCAACACGGACTCTGCAGAAGTTCTCCTCTTGCAAAAAGTAATAATAATAATAAAATTCCTGAAAAAATGTAAGAGACATTCATGTCAGTCAGGGAAAGAAAACGCACTAGAACTGACTCTCCATCTCTCCATTCTCTTTTGATGCTCAGAGATTTGAGAATAGGCTGTGATGAACCTGTAGTTAAGATCAGCTATAAAAATCATGAGGAAGGCAGGACAGAAGCAACCAAGAAAGACTGGTGAAGCACTCAACAGCAGGACTTTCAGAATGGCAAAAATAATACAAACGATCACCAAGTGATTTGGAAATCAGCCTCACCTTGCTCCCATATCGGAGTAAGACGAGCAAATGATCAGTTTTCATTAAGTGCATTATAATTTGGACTCTCAGTTAAGTCACTGTTTACAGTTATCAGCACAAGAGGTAGGAGAGAGCCCAGTTGGGAACATGCAGGCAAACCAGTGATGAATCCACTCACTAGAAAGAGCTGCCTCAGCTTTCAAGCCTCCCCCTGCCCGCAGATGTGCCTACCAGCCTACTGCTGGGCTGGTTCTGCCCGGAGCGGGGTCTGCCTGCTGAGGCACTGCGTACCCATGAACTATCAAGGTCAGTCCTGCTGGAATTCAGGGAGCCTTTTGCCATTAAACTCCAAATCAGCATTTCTCAGTTTGAGTGATTCAAACACGCAGCTCCTCATTTGTTCTCTCCAGATCCGAAATCCTCATTGCTGTTCCCACCACACAGGGAATAGCACTTATTTCAGGCAAGCTAAACACCAGCCAGTTCTGTAGATGACTTTCTGCTCCCCTTCTCTCTATGCACAGCCATCCCCTTTAAGGCTTCAAACTTCCCAAGGCTTGAGGAGAGTTGAGAAACTCAGGACTTACCCGACTCCCCTCTCAATAGCTAAAGACTGTCCCTGCACACCTACAAGAAGATGACAAGTACCAACAGTTAAAAATCATCTACCTGTAGAAGGTAAAGAAGTGCTGGAGCAAACAAAGTGAGAGGGTAGAGTGACTGGTATGTTGCTAAGGCCAGGAACACCGCACTGAGGAAGGCACTACCTGCAAAGGAAAAAAGGAACATTTAATACAAACAGCCTTACAGACAGGAAATCCAAATGGGAAGAAATGCACAACCCTCTGCAAGGGCTACACAAATATCAGAACTCCACTTAAAGCAGTCCTGGAGAGTGCCCTTTTCTTAACCACATTTTGAAGGGAGAATGACTCACACCAAGGCGATTCTCCCATAATAACCACTGACTGGTTTATATCTCCTATCAGTCACATACAGAAAGAGATTCATGTAATTCAGTCTATATATAAACCATGCTGGCAGCTGTTTATGCATGGGAATGCATTCGCTGAAGTCACATCCGCATGAAACAGCTGTTATACTGGGCATGCTGGATAACCTCGTCACCAGAATGTGTCAGGGCCCTCAGCAAAGCTCTGTGAAAGACAGCAAGAGAGTCTGCAGCTGAAGGAATGAAGTGGCATTAGCCCTACTTGACAGATACCAAAACTGAGGCATAGAAAGGATTAGCATAGCTTTTCCAAGTGGTCTTAAAAATATGAATGCCTTTATTGAGGAAGCTTTATCAGAAGTGTCTCAGGCTGAGCTAAGTGCTGAATACTCATGCTACCCAACTACCAACTCCAGAAATCAAGTCCAAAAGGTCTCAGGTTAAACAAAAATAAAAGCACCCAGTGCAGTAACCTAGTTACAGCTTTCAGCCTTATGTCACTGGAGAAGTCATCTGTGAAAGTATAGCTTAGACAGCAAGAATCCTGACTCAGTGCACTGGACTAACTGTCAGCCTACTGACATCGACCACTTGGTACGCTTCTCTCCGCTTCCACCTTTTGAAAGAGAAAAATACAGGGTTACCTGGCGATGAGCCTTCTCTGTTCTTCAACTACACTGTCCTAGACAGAAACCTCCCTATCCTCTCTTCTCTCGAGTGTTCAATTCTGCACAGACCTAAAGAATCGCTGTCCAGAAGTCACAGTCATGATCTGGTTCCTCTCTTTGCCCACTTTAAAACCTGGAGGTTGCCACGCTCCCAGTCAGGGAGAAAACACAGGGGACAGCCACTGCAGTGCTGTCTACGACTGAACTATTCATCTTATGGTACCAGTGAGCTGTTAAAAAAGTTTAACTAAACTGACACCACCCGTTTGCTTTTGCAAATGCTTTTAGACCGAAAGCCCTCCTGCCTCAATTAGTCAGTAACTGGAGGGAAACGTTCTTTTGGAAACACTAATACAACCAATCTGATCAGCTTTCTTCACAACAGCTGGGTCTGGGCTGGAGACGAGATCAGGCTGACCTCTCCTCTGATCCAGCAGAGAACTCCTAAAACGTATGTGACTTGTACCAGTCTCATACGCTAAAAGACTTTCACACGGGGGAGTCGTACGAGAAACAGAAACTCAGCATTATGCACAAAATGAAGGAATCAGCTGTTCTGCCATAATCTATTCAGCTGTGCCAGTATGCCTCTTGGGTTCCTGTTTCTGCTTCCCTAAAGCTCAATCAACTAATTTCAAAGCAAGTTTAGAACTGTGAGTGAAAGGCAAATAATAGCTGCAGGCAACTGCTTGCTTTTGAATAAAAGTTCAAAGACACACTTTGAAAATAAATTGTATACCATTACAAAAGAAAGCGCAGCAGAGGTCACGTCCTCCTACACACAGACATGCATTTCTTCGTAAACAGAAAATTATTTGAAGTCATCCAGGAAAAGGAGTCAGTTTTTAGAGATGAAACTCCTGGGTACACTGAGGTGAAAGTAAGTTTTGATTTGACTATAAAGTCTCTTGATCTCGTGATTTCAAGTGGAACATTGACCTTGCTCCAGTTCCATTTCTGCTGTGTTTCACTGAGATCTTTGTAGCAATCGTTAAGTTCCACCTTGATTTAATTTCTGCTACTTTTCTAATCTCTATAGAAAGTCCTAAAGAAACATTCTTTTCTTCATTATGTTACCTTTTATTGTAGCTAAAATGAAGAACGCAATGACAGTATTGTTGATGGCGCAGGTGGACTTGGCCACACAAGACATCACAGTGTAGGGGTTTAACAGATAGCTGAAAAAGAGCAAAGCTCGAGTTACATTCAAAGAAGACAGCATCTAATTAACGAGATGTTCAAAGGAAAAACAGATGCACTTTGCCGTTTCTTTTGTTTATTTACATCCTCTCATCATCAAACTAGCTCAGCTTTGGATCGTAGCCTTGGACACTGTGGCCACAGGGAACTCCCTGGAGAAAAGGAGACAGCTGAGAAGATGTCTAAAATGCAAATTCTATCCTAGAAAATGACTACCAAGAATGTTTCTTGCTTTGCAGAAACATTGTGCACTTATTCAGTCAGGAATAGGATTATTGAGTCCAAGGTTAACTCTTTCTGCTACTCACATCCATTGGCTCTGAAAAAGCAATAAAAATAAGAAAGCAAGATGGAAACAAATTGTGAGACATTAACAAGAGTGTTCCTCAACCCAGCTGCACCTGTGCCCTCCTGCAATGGCAGAGCAATCATTTATGTTCACCATGGCATCATCTGAGCAAAAAACCTACCAGCTATGAAAATCTGGCATTTTTAATTGAAATTATGAAGAGACAGTGAACTAGGAGCACCTTTGCCTTCCAGAAAGCAGCCACACTTACAAGGATGCCAGTTCCTTTTGGAAATGAGAATTACAATAAATCTCATTTAACTAGGTTCAAAGCAGAGAAAAAATGTTTGGATTACCAATATAATAAGCAAGATAATTCTTATTACATTGCAAGATAATCAGCCTTGCTAATAACTAAATCAATCACCAGAGTGAGGAGACAGGGCTGATGATTTCCTAATTATCTCTTTCCATTTTCCCTACTTCTCTGAGTCCCAGTCTGCCTTTTTCTGTGTTTCCAGAGAGACAGTCTACAGCAGGATAGGTACAATTCAAGGCCAACTTTGCTGTGGGAATGTGCAACTATGTTAAATACAGAATAGTCTGCAATTTACCGGCTCTGCCTTTCTCAGCCTGGGGAATTTACTGTTTCACAAAACCAGTATGAAGACAAGAAAAAATAACAACTTATCTAATGGAAAACTCTCTCTGATACTGAATAATTCAGATAATAATTTATGTCAAAATTCCAATGGAAAAAAGCAATTCTTTGGCATTAAGTACCTTGCTTGTATATTATTAATTTCACATGAAGTTTTCTGAAATAAAAAAAATGTTTAGTATACAGGGGAACACCAAGACATGACATCATTAAGATGATGACCTAAAAACACCTTTGAATTGTTGTAAGCAATGCTGAGATATTCAAGTTGTGATATTCAGCAAACGTTTTGTCCAGTTGCTCAAAAATTCTCCTAACTTCTCTGAAAAGACACCTGAGACATTGGGAGGTATAGAATCAATTTTGGTAACATTAACACGCAGGCAAAATAAATGAGAATGTGATCTGTGCAGACACAACATTCTTCCTACCGAATTAATGACCTTATGCTGTTGAGCCTGTCTTAGAGGGACTGAGTGAATTTACATGTTGGCAACAATCATTTGGAAAAGCATCTCCTTTTCACTCTCAAACTGAGTATTCAAGGCTGGGGGAGTTTTTACGTAGAATAGGAAATTCAGAATTTCTGGGGAAAAAAAAAATTCTACAACAAATATTGAAGCCCCAACTCAGACAAACAAAACCCAAAGGGAGGTGAGGAACCAAAGCAGCCTCCGAGAAGCAATACTTACAACAGAGCTACCTTGAGGGGGATGTAGTGCATTTCCATGGGTGTCTGGATGAGTTCAGCCACATCTGCTGCATATTTATCCAGTTCTATCAGGAGTTTCTGCTTTTTGAACTGAACAAGGGAGAATGATCAAAGATGGTCAGATGAGGAAAGTCATCAGCTCTTATTACTTATTACGTGGGATTTCCGTTACCGGAGAACCCAGGCGTGAGCCAAAACTCATGTTATGTGAGGCGTTGCACAAACAGAACAAAACCTCCTCTCTTTTCCCAAATACTTAACAACTGAAGTGGAAGTCAGGAGAAAGCAGATAATCTCTACTTATTTGAACTTCCTTAACTACCTGTGTCTAGCTCTTGACACAGCTGCCAGTGAATTGCCCACACTAGAGTTCAATTGTTTCAATTGTCCTAAAGCCCGTCTGGACCTTCAATGAAAAGCTGACTTTATAAATTCACTGTTCAACATACAAATCCCTGAGGAACCGAGTCTCAGAAGTATGCAGTCTTTGTTACTTTGAAGATGGACACCTCTACACCAAATCTCCTTTAGAGACCTAAAATCTCTCTCTTTCATCTATCCTGTTCTCTGATGCTCTCTATGGAGACGAAAGAGAAATCTGAATCATGAACCTACTGAACTGTGTCACGGTGAGACAGAGGAGACAGATGCTGGCAATACATTCTCAACGAGCAAAGCAACTCACACACAGGATTTTTACATGTCTGCAGTTCTATCATGAGTTATTTCTTCAAATTCAAAGTCAGAGGACAAGGAACAAGCACATAGCTGGACAAGAGACCACAGAGATGCTGCAGAAAATGCAGCCTCCCTGTTCATGTTGGTATTGAATCCCTGACCCTCCAGCATCGCTCACACAAAGCGTTCTTTGAGCTACTTATGAGAGAGCTGGGAGGAATCGCTCACCTCCAAGAACTTGTAAATTGAAGGGAACAAGTAATATTTGGTGTCAGACTTTCACCTTGCTCACTAGAATGATTTACATCACCTCAGCATCCTTGGAAGGTTTTATTCCTTCCTTTACACATTTCCAGTCTGTGCATTAACTCATGCTGTGTGCAAACACAAACCCTGTTGAAGGTAAAACATTCCAGGCTCTAGCTACAAAACGTACAGAAGATTGTACCAGGAGCAGCGGTGAGAAAACGGAATGCTCAAGTCTTGCCAAATCCACAGTCCAGTCATTAAATTGTGCACACTGCAAACTGCCACAACGACTGACGGCGGGTTTTCAGCGCACCCTTCTCACATCTCCTCTTGTGCACGGTGACCCTTTGTGCATGGGGACCCTTTGTGTAGAGTTAGAGTGACCCTTTGTGTAGGGTGACCCTAGATTTGTCTGCCTTTCACTGGCTATTGCATTCTTACAAATTTCTCAAATTCCTTCTACTCCTTTCGGATCAAAGAATCTACGCTGCTGCGATCACCGTTCAAATGCAGCGTGATAGCTACAGGCACTAACTTATTTCACACTGTAATACTGCCACAACTAAACTTAAAATACCTCAGTTGTTTACCACATTCAGTCCATTTTATTGATCATTCAGATACGATCAGATTTACTGTAAAAAGGACTAGTTGATACTGCATCCTTTGGTATGTGTTTCCTTGGTACAAGATAATTACGCTTGGTGGGAGAAGAGGACCAGCAACACTGGCACGTCAGCTTACCACAACTTTGTTGAAGTCCTGGATGGCCAAGTAAAGGGCAACAGCAGTTAGCACATCAGTTATCTAAAAAAGCAAGGCACAGACAGACTGACTGGAAGCGAAATAATCAAATGGAGAAAAAGATATTGGGCAGTACTGCAATCTGATTAAGGACTGTGATGTGACTCAGCTCACGAGAAGAAAAAAACGAGCTTTAAAACCACTAGATTGCTGATTTATGTGCTCACACACCACTGCTTCACCTTGAAGCCTTGAGCTGTATCAAAGATACTAATATTTACAAAACTGGAGAATGTGGAATTAAGGGGAAAGAAATCATTCATGGAAAGAAGTATGTGAAAGTAACCGAGAGAATGACTGGTCTAATTAGAGCAACACTGGGGCAGTGCCCAGCTGGCTAAACCCACCTGCCCACTAACCCGGCATGAGGGTGCCCTGAGCTGTCCCAAACTCACCGGGCAGCAGCACAGCCACCTGAACAACCCGCAGGAGCACGGCGCAGAGGGCTGTTAGCTCTGCACGAGACCTGCCCAGCGGGGATCCGGGCAGAGGCCCCGCCAGGCGCCACGTGCGGCCGGCGGAACGGCTGCTGTCCTTCCGAGTCACGCAGAACGCGGAGAGCAGTTTGCAAGGGACACTGGGGGGCAAACTCGTTGGTGCTCTCTTTGCAGGCCTGGGGTTTGGCAGCAGGTTTTAGTGAGAAACGCTGCATGCAGGGATTAAGAGCAACGAAACTAGTGAAGGGTTTAGAGAACTTGTCCTACAGGGAGCAGCTGAGGGAGCTGGGACTGGTCAGTCTGGAGAAGAGGAGGCTCAGGGGGGACCTTCTCGCTCTCTACAATTACCTGAAAGGAAGTTGTAGGGAGATGGGGGTTGGTCTCTTCTCCCATGTTATGAATGACAGGATGAGAGGGAATGGCCTCAAGTTACACCAGGGGAAATTTAGGTTAAATATCAGGAAAAATTTCTTTACAGAGAGGGTTGTCAGTTATTGGAACAGGCTGCCCAGGGAGGTGGTGGAGTCCCCATCCCTGGAGGTGTTTAAAAACCGTGTGGATTTGGTGTTGAGGAACACGGTTTAGGGACCCTGACAGTGCAGGATGGATGGTTGGACTTGATGATCTTGAAGGTCTCTTCCAACCAGATGATTCTATGATTAGGCTGGGGGGACAAAATATTCTGACCTGTAAGAGGATTCGAAACCAAATGTCAACTTCCCATCTCACTGTGGGGATACTTATCTGACCAAGAACTCACAAAGAAGGAGGAATGTGTACAACAAGGGAAAAGCCTGAACACGGGTTTGTACAGCAAAACTGCCTTTCTGTTTAACTGTGAGCTC